CATCCTCATGAAAAAAAACCCAAGAAAAGTCCAGTTGCTTTTGGGACAACCCTGGCCTGGATGACTGAGAATCTCCAGAGACATGTGACCACAGGGCGCTGCAACCGATTGTAAGTGTGAGCCGGTTGCCAACTGCCCACCTTGTGGTCACGTAACTATGGGGTTCCTGAGACAGCCAGCGCTCTTAGCACAGGTGATAGCCACCATTCATTCAGTCTCGTCCTAACTTTGCACAAAAGGGCGTTAAGTCAGCTATCTGTAACACGGTTCCATCATTCTGGGCCAGGCTGCCCTTCCCCAGTTCAAACTCCAACACAACCTTTTTGTTTTGTTTTGTTTTTTGTTCCCTTCCAAAGGGTCCCAGCCGGCCTCTTCCTCCCAGCGAGGCAGGGTCCGCTCCGAGCTGAAAACCAAGGAACAGATCTTCAAGCAGAGGAAAAAGGCATCCAAGCAACGCTTCCTGCAAGGCGGAGGGTTGAAGCGCTTGAAATCCCGCAGCCGGCAACGAGTGCGAGAGATGCGCCAAACGGCTTTCGGCCGCGGGGGTGTGAAGAAAGGCAAGATGCGGAAACGGATGTAGAAGTCCCGTGTCTGTCCAGGAGGCCGGCTTGTGGTCGCCGATTCCCATTTATTTACTGTGTAAACTCTGGATCTAAAAAAATAAAAATAAAATAAAGATGGAAGAATTTCAGCGACCGGCTGCGTCATTTGCAACGGCTCTCCTTATCGTGCTTCATCCAATGCTTTCCTCTGTTTTGTTTTGTGTGGTTTTTTTAAAAAATTAGTTTGGAAAAGAGAGTTATCGTGAATTATGTGGTGAAGAGAAATACAGATTGGGGGCCTCTTTCGCTCTTGATCATGGGAGATGCTAGAGAATCGGTTCCCGTTAAGTAACCCAGCCCAGTTCATAACTTTGAACTGTGATTTAGCATCGATTGTTAAGTCAAGAATGACCTATAGGTTGCAATTCCTGAGAGCTGGGAACTTGATTTCAAGATCAGGGAAATTCTTAAATAGGGGATCTGTAGTCTGCATCTAATGGGATAGGGAGATTAGAACCACAGATGGATATCTAGAGACAGGAAAAAGGCAAATAAGTAGAAATGTGTCAGCCTTGCAAGACAGACCAAACAAACACACCAGGAACAATAGGTCTGATTCTATTGTAAAGTTACATTAGCAATTTTGCAAGTCTGAAGGCACATTTCTCTCCCGTCACCTTTACAGCCTAAGAAACTAGGGAGGGTCTTTTCTCAATGTTTGCCCGCATCCATATTCCTTCTGTGGGCTCAGCTGCCCCTAATCTGACTGTGGTCTAGTCTGTAGCTCTTCCTCCTGTCTCTCAAGGTCCTTCCTACTCAACCATTCGTTTCCCCAAAATCAGGAGATTTGTAGTGCAAGTTATAGAGGTGGCAATACGCACCCTGGATAATTGTTGTGATCGGCTGGCTGATGTACTAGCCTGAGACGGCACCACTTTTTCTGGCTGTGAAGCTTGCGGTGGCTGTCCTTTGCGGAAATCAGCAAGGATGGCTGTTAAATCTTCAACATAAAGCTGGACCTGGAGGGGTGGCGAAACAAAGAGGGCGGCTGTTGATAAAATTGGGAGGAGGAAGCGGGACGTGCATTACCTTAAGGACTTCAAGAAAAGGCCAGGCGTTAATCAAATAAATGGATTCTAAGATAGAACAATTCACTCGAGACTTAAATGGCCAGAAAACAAATGACTTCATTTTGGAGACATCCTAGACATCCTTGCTTGTCAGAAGGTCGCAGAAGTCAATCACATGAGCCCGGGACTCTGCAACCGTCGTAAATACGAATCGGTTGCCAAGCTGAAATGAATTTTGATCACGTGACCCTGGGGACGCTGCAAGAGCCGTCAGTGTGAAAAACAGTGCTGTTGTGACTTTGAGCAGTCACTGAACGACTGGCTGTAAGTCAAGGACGGCCTGGGTGTACTAAGGCACCAAGGTCATCCAGAGGCCAATCAAATTTCACAGCTCGGGAGCCATCGCTGCCAGACAAACATCTTACATTACTTCCTTTTCCAAGATCCATTGTCAGCATATTAATCATTGAAATCATCCCACGGTGTGACTTTCCCAAAGCGAACAGCATTTATGGAAGTAATATTAGAGCTGACCACATCTAGCTGGGCTTCGGTGTCCTCCTGCGGCACGTTCATTGGGAGCTTCCCATGCTTGGCCACCATCTGGAAAAGGTTCAGAGCTGCCAGCTTGATCTGTCCCAGCTCCAGGGTCTTGTCAGCCGCCGTGTTCTGGATGCAAATCCACTTGGACTCCTAGAGAGGGAGGAGAAGATCCGGGCATCATGTTAAGATATTGCCTAACAGAATAATCGGGTTGGAAGGGACCTTGGAGGTCTTCTAATCCAGCCCCTTCCTCAAGCAGGGGACCCAATGCCAATTTCAGACAAATGGCTGTCCAGTCTCTTGAAAATCTGCAGTGATGGAGCACCCACAACTTCTGGAGGCAAGTCGTTCCACCGGCTAATTCGTCTCACTGTCGGGAATTNCATCCTCATGAAAAAAAACCCAAGAAAAGTCCAGTTGCTTTTGGGACAACCCTGGCCTGGATGACTGAGAATCTCCAGAGACATGTGACCACAGGGCGCTGCAACCGATTGTAAGTGTGAGCCGGTTGCCAACTGCCCACCTTGTGGTCACGTAACTATGGGGTTCCTGAGACAGCCAGCGCTCTTAGCACAGGTGATACCCACCATTCATTCAGTCTCGTCCTAACTTTGCACAAAAGGGCGTTAAGTCAGCTATCTGTAACACGGTTCCATCATTCTGGGCCAGGCTGGCCCTTCCCCAGTTCAAACTCCAACACAACCTTTTTGTTTTGTTTTGTTTTTTGTTCCCTTCCAAAGGGTCCCAGCCGGCCTCTTCCTCCCAGCGAGGCAGGGTCCGCTCCGAGCTGAAAACCAAGGAACAGATCTTCAAGCAGAGGAAAAAGGCATCCAAGCAACGCTTCCTGCAAGGCGGAGGGTTGAAGCGCTTGAAATCCCGCAGCCGGCAACGAGTGCGAGAGATGCGCCAAACGGCTTTCGGCCGCGGGGGTGTGAAGAAAGGCAAGATGCGGAAACGGATGTAGAAGTCCCGTGTCTGTCCAGGAGGCCGGCTTGTGGTCACCGATTCCCATTTATTTACTGTGTAAACTCTGGATCTAAAAAAACAAAAATAAAATAAAGATGAAAGAATTTCAGCATGCGGCTACGTCATTTGCAACGGCTCTCCTTATCGTGCTCCATCCAATGCTTTCCTCTGTTTTGTTTTGTGTGTTTTTTTTTAAAATTAGTTTGGAAAAGAGAATTATCTTGAATTATGTGGTGAAGAGAAATACAGATTGGGGGCCTCTTTCGCTCTTGATCATGGGAGATGCTAGAGAATCGGTTCCCGTTAAGTAACCCAGCCCAGTTCATAACTTTGAACTGTGATTTAGCACCGATTGTTAAGTCAAGAATGGACCTATAGGTTGCAATTCCTGAGAGCTGGGAACTTGATTTCAAGATCAGGGAAATTCTTAAATAGGGGATCTGTAGTCTGCATCTAATGGGATAGGGAGATTAGAACCACAGATGAAGGATATCTGGAGACAGAAAAAAGGCAAATAAGTAGAAATGTGTCAGCCTTGCAAGACAGACCAAACAAACACACCAGGAACAATAGGTCTGATTCTATTGTAAAGTTACATTAGCAATTTTGCAAGTCTGAAGGCACATTTCTCTCCCGTCACCTTTACAGCCTAAGAAACTACGGAGGGTCTTTTCTCAATGTTTGCCCACATATTCCTTCTGTGGGCTCAGCTGCCTCTAATCTGACTGTGGTCTAGTCTGTAGCTCTTCCTCCTGTCTCTCAAGGTCCTTCCTACTCAACCATTTGTTTCCCCAAAATCAGGAGATTTGTAGTGCGAGTTATAGAGGTGGCAATACGCACCCTGGATAATTGTTGTGACCGGCTGGCTGATGTACTAGCCTGAGACGGCACCGCTTTTTCTGGCTGTGAAGCTTGCGGTGGCTGTCCTTTGCGGAAATCAGCAAGGATGGCTGTTAAATCTTCAACATAAAGCTGGACCTGGAGGGGTGGTGAAACAAAGAGGGCGGCTGTTGATAAAATTGGGAGGAGGAAGCGGGACGTGCATTACCTTAAGGACTTCAAGAAAAGGCCAGGCGTTAATCAAATAAATGGATTCTAAGATAGAACAATTCACTCGAGACTTAAATGGCCAGAAAACAAATGACTTCATTTTGGAGACATTTTTAGATTTAGATTTTAGATTTTATTAAATTTATACCCCGCCCTTCTCCCGGAGGACTCAGGGCGGCTTACAGCCAGTTTAAAACAGTAATACAATACAAAATTTAAAAAGATTAAAAATAAATATTTAAATTTGGCCGCTTCTACTAAAAATTTAATTTAAAACCCCTTTAAAATACCCCTAGGCCAGTCCTGCC